CAAGCGTCTTGAAAGGAGCAATACTTGAAAATCTTCCTCATATACAGGGCATGCCAACTAGTTTTGCAATTTCTCTCTTATATTACTGCTATGATTTACTGTTTGAGGTTTCCTAATAATTCTCTAATTAAATCAAATATGGAAGTTGAAATAGGGAAGCCAATAATATCATCTGCAGAAAATAGGAGTTATTGGTTTAATTGCTGTCACTTTATATAAAGCTTGAATTCTTACGTAAGTCTATGGGAAACACAAGAATTGTATCAAGGTGAGAGCTTGGTCTGCTCATACATCTAGAAATGAAGAGGCAGGAACAATGCATGTAATCTACTATGAAAAATGAATATGATGTTATTTGGCTGGGTTTCAGATTTGTTTTTGATGGCATGGGTCTTGTTTTCCCTGGTGTAATACCATTTTTTCAAGGGTATTTGTTTTTGGAATCTTGTTAAAGGATAGCTGGCTCTGACATAAACACCCCAACATCTTTCTCTTCTCCTGTGCTTGTAATCAGCCATTATCCAACAGAATTAGAAGAGTAATTTACAGGGATAAGCACTTGTTGTTAGAAGCAGTGTTTTAAATCAGACACAGAGAAAAAATTTAAGGCACAAATGAATTATTCACTCTAAATGATACACAGAGCTGGTTGTAAATTGTAATTTAACAGGTTGTTTTTCTTGAAACATGCTAGGTCTGTTAACTCCTTCATTTAAGAAGGGACTGAGCACCACTGGAAGCTTTTGTGTATTTCTTTGGGTGTCAACTGATTCCATTTCATTCCTAGTTAGGTCTATCATGCTGCCTACATTGTGACATTTCTAGCTTTTATTTCTTTTATACTTGAATTCACTTGAAAATGAAAATATTTTTGTTTAAATACCTGAGCAAATTTACCTTTTTCCTGGATTAGCATAAAGTAGGTCATAACAAAAGCAATAATTGAACAGCGTCAACTTTGAAGGGATGCCAATGATTAAATAGCCAGGTTTCTTTTTTTTCCAATGTAATGTTGGTTTAGTAGCAGGATTTTACTTGGGTAGTGTATTTGTTTGATTTATAGTTTATTAATAGCAGTTTTTGGTTCTTTTACCCTGTTCTTTCCTGGAAGTGTGGGTTTTGTGTGCTTTTTCTGCAGGGAGTACAGGTTTGCTGTGGTTTGGGGATTTGGAAATACGGCACTGAAACAACTGGACTGAGACCACCATTCTAATTTCACTTCAGGCCTTTCTCACATCAGTGGTCAGAATGATTTTTTAGTCACTGCAGTCAGGACTTGAATCCAACTATAGTCTCAGGGGTGAAAAGTCAAGGGGTAATCCATTTAGCCATCCAATTCTCCAGGTAGAACTTTGATAACCATTTCAATTACTTTATTCTCTCCTCCCTTATCCAAGAGTTGCTATACTAAATGTTATATTTGAATCCCCACTATGATTCATGTTTTTCTGGGATTTAAAATTATGGAAATTCTTCAGGTAGAAAATGGGCACATATGGTTATCACAGAAAAGCTGTTTTAAAGCCAGTATTAAGGTGAGCCGCTGAGATTTTTGCAGAGTTAAAACACTTGGCCTGTGCCTGCAGCTGGAAAAGCGCCATTCCCTCGGACAATGTTAAGTATGAGTTGAGTCAATTTTCAGTTCCTCAAAATTGGAATGAATCCTGCCCTGTTTTCTCTGTCCAAAATGGACAGGATCTGAAATAAGGAAAAATTAGGCCTTTCCATTTTATCTTAACTGCTATTCACAACTAAAACTTTGTTATTTTTCCCTATAACATAAGTTTTTCCTTATGACATAAAATGTTTATGTTGGGATAATTGGAGAACTCTGTTAAGCATCATGATAGCTTATTTATGTAAGAGTGGATTTGGTCATAATTCCATCCCTTAAGTGGTTTTAGTTTTTATGTGTTGCATTTCTTTGTAAAATTATTATGAAGGTTTCGGAAGAAATGATTAGTGAGGAAGGATCACATTTTAAGGTCTCTGTTTCCGATTCCTGTAAAGCCTGTTGTTTTTTCTTTAGATTGAAACCTGACTTTACATTGACTCAGGGATCTAAGACAAAGCGGACAGTGTGTTTTTGCCTCTTTCTGTGAAGATGTCTGCTTTATGTATCTTTGTATTGACTGTTAGGATTTAGAGACCCAGGTGGGGTGCGGTGGCTCACGCCTGTAATCCCACCACTTTGGGAGACTGAGGCCGGCGGATCACGAGGTCAGGAGATCCAGACTATCATGGCTAACACAGTGAAACCCCGTCTCTACTAAAAATATGAAAAATAAGCCAGACATGGTGGTGGGTGCCTATAGTCCCAGCTACTCAGGAGGCTGAGCCAGGAGAATGACGTGAACTCAGAAGGGGGAGTTTGCAGTGAGCCGAGATTGCGCCACTACACTCTAGCCCGGGCGACAGAGTGAGACTCTGTCTAAAAAAAAAGATTTAGAACACAAATCAAATATCTGGATAATTAAATCCGTATTTAGAAGGCACACATAGATACTCAGTCAATGTTGTTTAAATGGTTGAGAAATGCAAGTGAACGAATGGTGTTTTAAGGTAAGGCACCTAGGCTAGAAGCGCTAATTTTATGAATTCTGCAAGGTATTGACTCTTAATTCCATCATGACTTGATATTGGCTGCCAAAATGATATATGTGCCTCATATCTTCTCACTAAACCACATAATTTTTGTTTTAAAAAGCCAGCACAATCAAGAGAGAGACAATTATATGAAAAGCATGTATTGATGAGAGGAGTAATATATAATAGAAGAGCTGGTTAAGTGCTTCTGAAATGAAAGCCTATTGTTTATGGAAAGATTCTCTTCTTTTACGATTTCAGTTATTTCCAAGTTGACAAATTGTGATCAATACTCTGTTATTGGTCTGATAATTAATGGATGATGGCCTGTCTCTATGAATGGTAAATGCTGGGTGCTAATTAACATTTGTTTTGATTACTTGATATTCAGTTGTCAAAGACAGCTATTATAATGGCATAGGATGTTAGAAAAGGGCTTTTTATTATGGCTTTGATTGTTATCGGAAATGACTTTTTGTGTGTGAAGAGATGCCTGATTCCTGTTACTGCTCACTGTAATATAACTACAGTAGTCTGAGAACTCATCTAAAAGCCTTAAGTATTGCTAATGAATTGTAACTGTGACCTCTCAGCTTCAAGAGAAAGAGGGAAAGGATCTGTAATCAAGGGTGGAGATGGTGAGATTTCTGAATAGGAACTAAATGTGCTAAATGTAATTGACTGATATATCTCTGATTTAATCAAAATTTAAGGAATAGTATGAAGTTTTTAAAGTTTCAGAGATTGTATCATCTACTTTACATTTTTTTTTTTTTACATCAGTCTATTCTTTTCCATTCAAGGAGGAAGTTTCACTGGGATTTTAAGACAGGCAGTTATCTGTAAATCCAGAGTCACCATTGTAGACTTAATGTATTTTCTAGAAAAACCAGATAGTTGATGTATTTTTCAAGCTTGAAACTTCCTTATCTGTTTTCATATGTTCAAGGAGTACTACAATTAAGTGGAAAGTGTGTCAGCTCTGGATTTAGACAGGTTTGGCTTCAAATCCTAGCTTCAAAACCTGCTCCTTAGCAGTGCAACCTTGAGCATCATTTTAAATGCTCTTTTCTCATCTGCAAAATGTGACTAATATTATATGTCTAGGTGGGTAGCTGTGATGATTAATGAGATCATACATATTAAGATCCTACCATAATACTTGGCACAGTTAAGAGACTGGAGCCAGATTGGCTGTCTCCAAGTCTAGGCTGTGCCGCCTGCTAGCAGTGTGACATCAGGCAGGTTATGCAACGTTTGTGTGTCTCTGTTTCCTCATCAGTGAAGCAAAGATAGTAGTATTATCAATCTCATTCAGTGTTGTTGCACAGACTAAATGAGTTGATAATGTAAGGTGCAAAGAACGATGCCTGGCACATAGTATGTGTTACGTGTGAATCGTTCGCTGTAATTATTAGTGTAACAATAATAAGTTCTCAAGAAATGATAGCCATTTTACATCCTTTCTTTTCTTTAAAATACTATCTAAAGCTTTCTCCTTAGTTTGATATGTAATGTTTGAAAAATCATAAATCGAGAAAAGTCTTGCTTTCCATAATGATAATTTGTACAATTATATATAACTTATACAGATTATTTACACAGCCCACATTCATTGAATAGCTACTAAATGCAGTGTAACTCAGGAGGGTGAACATATGGACTTAGATGGGCACAGGGAAGCAAGAGATTACTATATTCATGTACCAACTATTTATGTAGACTTTCTTGAGAGCATGTTCTGATGGGCTTGGGCATTGGGGATGATAGCTCACAAGGGCATTTCAGAGAGGCTGAAATTTTCGTATTTTGACCAAGGAAAACCTAAGTATGTTATATGCAAAAACGAATCTTTAAGCATGTGTCTTAGCATTTAGTCTCAAAACTGAATTTCTCTTCTATGACTTAGTTTTCATTCTTCAAGGGGCCATGATATCCCTTGAAGATGCAAATTTTAATCTGGGGCCTATTCTTAAACTTTGATTTTATATTGCTAACAGATAAATACAAGATGTGTTTGGAGGTATTTATATTTATTCATATTAACTACAGAATGACCAGTCTTATTTGGGCTTTGACTTCTTTATGAATACAAAGATAAATCAACATTTCAGTACAAATGAAAATGAGGAGATTGATTTATGATTGGGTTAACTTTGCAATGCATGTATATTATATACATGCATATTATGTATATTATATACATTATAGTGTATTATATGTTACATATGTGTTATACTATGCATACATATATAGTAATGTATTTTTTTTTATCAAGGTCTTTTATACTTGACAGCATGTCCCTCCCATCCTCGGGAAGGGTGAGTTTTCAGTTCCCCCTTCACTGTGCTTTTTCAGTATGATTTCACTGGGCAACACTTAATTAAACTTCATTTCCTCTTTTTACGCTCCAGGTATTATTATGCCGCTCCCTTCAAGAAGTAATTTGCGTGCTGTTTATTGGAGCTTTGAATTTAATCATCTCAATCCCACGCTATTGCAGGATGACTATAAGAAGATGTATTGACATTTCTTTGGACACATTATTTTGCCTCCATTGTGTGTTGTTTTGCCAGAATACTGAAGGCAATGTTTGTACGATGGCACATCCAAATAAAAAGCATGTCCTCCTTTTGGGATAGTGATCCATTTAAGTTATTTGTTTCAGTGCATGTCCTTAGAGCTGAAGTTTTAAAATAAGAGTAATCCTGGAAAAGATGTTTAAAGTACCACAAAGGATAGGCTTGGAAAGGAAACAAAGATTGAGGGCTTTTTTTTGCCCCTGGGCTGGAATAGAATGGAGTATTAAACATCCCAAGTCCCCCAGCCAGCCTCTCCTATGTTTTATATATATATATTACATACACATGCACACCTTTCAAATTTCAGTCTTACAGTGTATATAAATGTGTATACTTACATTCTCTGAACAAGCCAGGACATTGGTTATTTCCTAATCTAGTCTCCAGAAGAGAAAAAAGAAAAACATACAGAAAGGAATGTATATGTTAAGGAGGATAAAGAGAGAGGGGTTATGATATGATCAAAATAATAATAGCTAAGATCTTTTGAGATTTTATTATTGTAACCAGCTACAGTTCAGCTGCTCACCACTCAGAGACCGAAAACACGAGAAGCAAGGCATGATGAAAGGAAAGGAAGGCAACGTTATTGATCAAATGCCAGCAGATGGGAGATGGTCGGGTTTCTGCCTCAAAGAAACCATCTCTGCCTTTTGGGATGAGTGAAGGGGTTTTGGCAGGAGAAGGTATGGGAAATATATGGTAGTGGTGCAGGAAGGCGCAGGTCTGCATGTCTAGTTCCAATGTTTATCTTGAGTAATTGCCTGTTGGGTTGGTGTCATCCTGACTGGGGCTGGATAGTGGTGGGCTAACTATTCATACTTCTCCTAAGTGGGTGGATTCTGCAGCTTGGTCTCTTTACCTGTTTCGCTTCAAAATTGGTCTCTGGAATTTCTAAGCAAGCACATAATTAGATAAGCAAGCACTGTGCGCAGAAGTTCCTGGTGTGAAAGGGAGAAATTAAGACTTTCAAAGTATGTTTCAAGGTTGAAAGCAAGAAAGGAGAAAAATGTTTTCAAATGCATGTTGAGGCTGGAATACTTGGCTTCATTATGAGCTTGTTATTCTAAATATTTTATATAAATTAGTGATTGTAGTTTTGAATATTTTCATAGCAGAGGGTGGAGTAATTGACATAGGGGCCTGAAAAATGCACCCAGATGTCTATCTGCAAGTTTTACAGACTAAGAGTTCACAAGGCTCAAACAAGGTAATGCCTGGGATGAAAAACCATAAACTGAGCACAGAGACCTGTCCGGCCACCCCTGACTGTGGCTGACTGCCCACAGTTGGTACAACTTCCAAGTTTTAAAGAGAAGCCATTAATCTGGATATTTATATGTGAAGTCTCTTGATTTTGAATTTCTGGGAAATAATTCAAAACCTTTTCCTTGACATATTTTGAAAAGCACACCACACACCCCCGCCCACGAGCAGGCGTCATCCTGTGGGCCACCTGCCGGTTTAAGAGACTTACAAAGTCAGCCTGGAGCCCGTGAGAAAACCCGGAGGGGCAAACTGAGATCCTCGGTGGTTTCATCAGTGGTTTCCTCGGGAGATCACCTGACCATTTAAAAGCTCTGCCTGTTTAGGATGGTGTTTAGGAAAAAGCATCACAGTAATCAAGGCAGGTTTCCCTTCAGACAGAGCAGGGCAGTGTTTCTGGTTCTGTTTTCCTTGAACCTAGTCAAACATGCATGAATCCAAAACTTGAGTGGCTCTGCGCTACTAAAGCCCTGGATCCTAGTTTTATTTTTTGCCAAAGAATATTTGAATAGAAACTGACTTAATACACTATAAATAGTATCAATTTTTGGCCAAGCACAGTGGCTCACACCTGTAATGCTAGCACCTTGGGAGGCCCAGGCAGGAGGACCATTTGAGCCCAGGAGTTTGAGATCAGCCGGGTAACATAGTGAGACTTCATTTCTACCGAAAATAAAAACAAAATTAGCCAGGCATAGTGGCGCCTGTAGTCCCAGCTACTTGGGAAGCTGAGGTGGGAAGATTGCCTAAGCCAGGAGTTCAAGGCTGCAATGATCAGAGATCTCACCACTGCACTCCAGCCTGGGTCACAGAGTGAGACCCTGTCTCAAAACAAAAACAAAAATAGTACCAATTTTTTAGATCAGTGGGCAGAGATTTTTAGTACTGTCACTCTTTTTTCTGGAAAAAGAGAAAATTGGTGATTTACTAGTCAAATAGATGCAGAGTCATTTTTGAATAGGCAGTTATTTATATTAGTTATTCACATTAATTAAATACATTATTGTAAATTATGCATACTTTTTAATTTTATTTTTATTTTTTATTTTATTTTATTTTTCTGAGATGGAGTCTTTCTCTGTCACCCAGGCTGGAGTGCAGTGGCACAATATCAGTTCACTGCAACCTCTGCCTCCCAGGTTCAAGCAATTCTCCTGTCTCAGCCTCCCAAATAGCTGAGACTACAGGCTCATGCCACCATGCCTGGCCAATTTTTGTATTTTTAGTAGAGACGGAGTTTCACCATGTTGACCAGGCTGATCTCTTAACTCCTGACCTCGTGATCTGCCTGTCTCAGCCTTCCAAAGTGCTGGGATTACAGGCATGAGCCATCACACCTGACCAATTTATACTATTTTAAATTATTCACATTATCCATTATTATATTAAAGTATTCAGATTTATTACATTATGACTTGCTTCATTTTAAACTTTTCCTTTGTCATGCAATGCTGCCTCTTTAAAATAAGTAAGCTACCCCGAGATATGCATCAGGAACAATGGGATGGTTCTCTACTGCTCAGATATCTAGAGGTGAGAGCTACACATGAGTATTTTGAAAAACGTTCCTATGAAATATAAAAGTGCCTTTCTGAAGATAACACTAGGCCAGATGAGCTTTCGGCTGTGTTTGAATTGATTTCCCACTACATTTCTTTCTTTATCTTAAACCTGAATTTCACTACAAGTTACCTACGCATAGGATTCCAATGTGAACAGATGCTTCATTTTAGCTAAAACAGAACTTCCTTTCAGTGAAGACGTGTGCCTCCACTCCCTCTTTGTGGCACAATGGGCTGACATTTTTGGATCACAGATCACACAGGCCTAACCTTGCCATACTATTCCTTCACCTTTCTGGAATTCAACTCTTGCTTCAGAATGTATTATCAGATGTACAAATGAAAGCAAGAAAAACTAGGCCATTCTTAAAATGCTCCTTTTTCCCTAAACACCTAGTTGAATTTTTTAAATAAAAGAAATATGAATATATAAATAAGTAAACAAGATCAAATGAATCGCGTAATGTACTGTTTGACCCTGCCTGTCTATATGGGAATTTTTAGCATCAAGGCTAAACATACACATGAGGCTTCCTTAACTTCTGACCAATCCTCTGTGTTGTTGTGTCCTAGTTAACTGCCAAAGCAGTTGGCATTACTAGGAGAAATCTGACATGACCTTAATGCACAGGCTGGGTTTCAAAATTGACTGTGTTAAATGTGCTGTTTAATTTTAAAAACAAGAGACGTTTTTCTTGAGGTATACATTCAAGTATTCACCGTGGAATGGCGTCTCTGGTATTGTGTCTTAGATACTTCTTGAAAGGCAAGTCAAAGTCCTGGCTTTACAGTAAGACGTATGGATATTAGATCTACTAGAGGTAAAGAGATGAAACCTTGCTTTTCAAACCAGGGGTTTGAGAAACCCAAGAATGAGCTCCCCAGGGGAGACGTTTTTCTTTGCTGGGAGTCTCCAGACCGTGCCAAGTCCCTGACGCTTTGGACATACAATGACCCTTGGACCAGCCACCCTCTCCCAGGGTTCTTTGTTGCCCTGGGGGTCTTTGACTAATCATTCAAAATTTTCTTGAATTTCACATTTGTTTGCTGGGGGTCTAAGGGTTTTACTCAATTGAGCAATTACTTCAGCATGTAACATGTTGGTTTTATTAGTACTAGCGTATTCTGAACTGTTGAAGTGTATCTGTTTTCAAAATACATTGCATGAGGATTAACATAAAAAGGCAAACAGAAATGGTGCTTTCCTGTGAATGTTGGTTTTGAATGACGAGTGTATTTTCTGTCCATGATGAAGCTCATATGTGTTGTTGGCAGGTATCCCGTGCGCCATTTCCAAGGGTAGGAACAGTACAGGGCTTCTGATCACAACCCTACAGAAGGGAAAGTGGTGAAGAACCTTGCGTATATGGAAAAACAGGTGGAGTGTGGTCTGAACTTGAGGGTAGTGTGTTACCAGGAAACACAATTCTTCTTTGGGTATGTGTGCATGGGGCCTTCCTTCTCTGCTCTTTTCTTTCACATTTTCAAAACTCATAATGCTGCCATTTCTTTGAAGAGGTTTAGAAGTGTTCATATTAGGCACCTCAAAACTAGGTCCCACCCATGTCTGTTTCCCCTCTGTGTGTTTATATAAGAAATAAATAAAAAAGTTTCACGATCTCTAGTTTGCAACCCATATTCAACATGCAAAGACTGACAATATTGTTGAAATATCTAAAACCTAAGAAATTATTTTAGTCAGTGACCGTGGCCTGTTTGTGTCATGAATGTCCTTTTAAAAAAATATGAGTTTTATATATGCAAAAATGTAATAACAAAATTGTGATAGTATTATAAAACAGTTGCGGGCTGGTTTTGTCTGGCCTAAGTGGTCTTTTACCCTGAGCATGTTCACTAGTGTGTGTGTGTGTATGTGTGTGTGTGTGTATGTGTGTGTATATGTGTGAGTGCTTTTTTTCCTTTGTGTGCAGTGGAAGTTGCCTGCTGTGGGCCTCTGGGTCACTTTGGGTGTTTGATTGTTGAATTGAAATGATTCTTTGCCTTGTACTGCAGAAATAACTAGTAATAATCTTCACGTGACCTGCATGTTTTAAGAAAATTATCCTGGGGCTATCCTGGTAGGATATACGTACCATGCAGTTTCTATGATATGTAAAATTTTTATCAGATGAAAACAAAAAAATCATATCAGGAAAACATTTCATTCCTTATTTTAGAGCTAGAATGGACTTTGACTTTTCTTCATGCTTATTTATCTGAGAAAGCATTAGGTGG